TAAGGCGCATGGAATCACGAGTTTTGGAGAAGAGAAGTTTGTGTGGAGTGAACAAACTGACCCATTTCGTGGAAACGAGACGACGGTCCTTGGATCACGCGAGAGGTTGATCACTCTCGGCGATGGTACACTGTTCTGATTCGATTTCGCCGACAAAGTAAGCCGAGCAATTGCCGCCATTACCGTATCTTGCAGCGAGTGGCCGGAAGATTTGTGATTTCCTCTCTCTGAAAATCGAAAGTGTCTTCCTTTCTTTCAGAAACTAGACGGAATTACGGCAGAAACAGGCTCTGGTGAAAATGAATCCTCATCTACCTTTAAAACCCTAAATCGGTCTATTTCCCACGTGCGGAACCAAATTAGTGTCTGAGATCCCACGTGCCAGTACAACACTCAACTACTTTGTTCACCAACAAAAACATGTTAACGAGCTTGACCCACCTGTACCATTTGTTGATTTTTCTTTTCTTAATGGGATTCACTTAGTTTTGGACAAAAGCATCGCACTTTCAATGTTTATAAATAAAAAAACTACAAAAAAAAAAAGACACAACTTTGTTCGCCAAATTGGAACTTTCTGAACGTGCCATGGAGTTATGATCATAATTCAAGAACTTTACAACTTCACATGAATAGATCCAAAGAACTTTGACCCCAAAAAAAAGAAGGATAGTTCCAAAGAACGGTTTTAAATTGCATCAATCATCTAATGCTACTTTCATATTCTTACTTTTGTCTTGATGTTTTCCTCTCTTTACCGGTTTAGGAGGAAAACTTCAGAAATATTGTTGGGCTTCTCTTGGTGTTTTGTGCTGAATTTCAGTGTGGATCAGAGGGTAAGCAGAAGAACCAAGAACCAACACCATTAGGCCAGTCATACATACTTTGATCGGTAACCGATGCGTAGAGTCCTGTTCTTGGGCGTTTCAGTACATTTGAAAAGAGAGGAGAGACACTACCGGCCCTGGACTGTTTTCTATCAAGTTTGAATTCAGCAACGGAAGCTCTCTCAACTGCTTGCTTCGGTTTTCGGGTTGTCGCGGTTTCTGAACAAGTAATTGGATGGATCAAGTGAAAGGCACGGCAAGTTTTGAGCTGTTTGTCACTGATCAAATCATGAGAGAAATATAGAGCTAAGTAGTTGTATCCCAAGGGACACTAATAGACACATGATGGCAATTGTTTTATTGAATTCCCCGTGAAAAGTGATGTTGAGTTCAAAAGGAAAAAGAAAGAACAATGTCTTCTGCTTGTGTAAAAAGGGAAAATCGCTGGAAAAAGGTCTGTTGCTCTCTTCTGCCTTATACCTATGAACAACATAGGAACCAAGAATAGTACTCTATTAAGATATTAAGATGAGATTCAATCATCTTTTTCCTTCACTGAAATCTCCTCCGTCTTCTCTTCGACCACCGACTGTGATCCAGTCATCCTCGCCAACATAACAAACGTCATTCCACCCAAAAGATTGTTCACAACCCTCAAAACCACCACACTTGTCTTAAACACCAATGGAGGCAACGCCTTAGCCAGCACAAACTCAGCTCCATTCAACGTTTGGTACCTCACATTGGCGCTTACTCCCATATGCGTAGCCCAAGTTAACGAATTCAACAGAGTCGGTGGCGGTTTGTTAGGCGTTTCGAAGCTCGGGTCCATCTTCTTCCTCAACATGATCAAACCATTAGAGATAGCGGTTCCAACAAGACCTGCAGCTAATCCTACAGCAGCAAACACCATTCCCTTGTACACAAGAGTCCCAAAACGGTTCATAACAGTGAAGCTTCCTTGTTCAAACATATGGCTCGAAGGACAACTTCTAAAGATTCCAGGCAACAAATTGGAAGATCCAGGAGATGCTAAAGAGGGAGCTAAGAGGTACATGAGTGTGAAATTGAGAATCGAACCTACGACGAGAGTCGAGAAGACGAAATCGAGCTCGTTCAATCCGAAATTTGGTCGTGAAGCCATGTCTCCGAGTACATTGGCGGTAACTCCAACAAGCTCTTCCATTAGTACCTTGAAAGGAAACTGAGGATCAGCTGCAACTCTCGATCTCCATCCTTGTATGAACATACCAATTGGTCCCCATGAAGACGA